GGGGAGACTACAAAGTAGGCTCTATCGGACGTCTGAATGCTTGCGCCGGGCATTACCACCACCGTCAGAGGAGGAATTGGAGGTGGTGGAATTGCCCGAGGAACCGTCGAGAGCCTGCTGGGGCACAGCAAGCCCATCGACGTTGTGGTGGGGACGAAAGCGATAAGGTAACCGTTGATGCGCTGGTATTCGCAAAAAGAAGGGGTGGGTCATTGCTGCGGCGAGGGGTATACGATCCGCGGGGTCATACTCCAACATCTTGGAAATTAGGTCGAACATGTCCAGTGTGTCTTGGCTCTCCTCTTTGCAGTATCGCTAGAGAAAGCAAAATGGGAGGGGGCCGGTTACTAGAGGTGATTAAACTAAATCGATAAAAATGCAATTATTACACCTACTAAGTAAACATAAGTAGGCGGTGTATATAGGTTGTCATACCCGTAGGGGCTTGCATGCAGAAATGGCTTCCTTCGACTTGACAGGGCAAACTACGGAGCCAGAGGATTCCGAAAAGTAGTTGGAGCGTCTGACATGCACAGGGGGAGAAAAGAGATAGAGAGAGAGAGCAAAACATGCAGTTGCAGCATACACAAAAAACAGCAGCAAATAGGAGGAGATCAAGATCAGTTTTGGGGGGCGGGCTCGAGCAACACAGTCCAAAAGGTGACTCTCATGCGCTTGCGCCAGGCGCGTCTCGCACTCACAAGAAGCGGACGACAGTTCTCGCGAACATAACGGCCCTCTTGGCTATAAAAGTCCCAGTCCAGTCGTCCGTGATAGAAAAACCCAGTGCTGCATCGGTGGATTTTGCGCGATAGGTGAGAAGAAAGAGAGGGGAGGTGAAATTCAATCTGCAAGGCATAGGCACTCTCAACGCGTGCAGGTGGCTACATTAAGGACTTCCTGGTACCGTTAATTAATACCTGCCTGGAAAACTAAATACAGGAGGGTGCCTACAAAACGTGAGATGATAAGAAACGAACCCCGCCTATCACGTCCATCTGGTTCAAAAAGTATACTACTAATGCTAAGGGAGACAGCTTGTACTACAGTGAGGCCTCTTACGTTAGGGTTCCACTAACGGATCCATAGAAGGAATG